TCTGGTTGCTGGTCAAAGCCTGTACAAGTGGAAAGTACCAGCAGGACTCTTAACACTGGCTGTGATGGCCAAGTTTATTATTTCTTGTACATAATAACGTCCTGGGACTTTTTGAGCACAGGTATTATGTAAAAAGAAGAGTTAGCATGTAGTGAATGTTTACTATATGCCAAGCATGGTTAAACAAGCATTATTTCACTTCATCCTTGTAACAACCACATAGGCGCCATCCCTCCTGATTGTTCAGCATTCCCCTTGTACAGGTGATGAAATTGAGACCCAAAGAGATTACATAACTTGGCCAAAGGCCACAGCTAGTAGGTAGTGGAGCTGGAGCTTGGAGTTCAGTCCATACTGATCTGACTCTAAAACCCACGCTCTTCACCTGCTAACCAAGGTTCTCGATCTTTGGTAGCGTCTAAATCAGTGGGAATCCTACAGAGCCAGAAATTTGCAATTTTATCAAGCACTCCAGGATTCTGATGCAGGTGCCCTGAAGAGCTATGCTTTGAGAACGCTGCCTCCCATAAATAGACACGGAACTGCAGAAACCTAGAACTATTTAACACCAGAAGCCTCATGGTGCGGTGGAATGAAATGCTGGGCCGACCCGCCTTCTTTGAATACAAGAGGAGATGAGAAGAAGTGATAAAATGTAAGGCATCTTATCTTTTCCTGTCCCTCTGGCTTCCCTGCCCCACTCCCCGCCTCAGCCACAGAGGAAGGCAGCTCAGTCACATTTACCGAAAGAGGTAGAACATTCCCCTTTGGCTGACAAAGAGCCCTGAGCAAGTGTATACTGGTTATAGGAGAATGCTCAAAATTGGAGGGGGAGCCTGACTGCTCCGAGGAACAGTGTCACATCTTAAGGGAAAAATACAGACTGAACCACCCAGCAAATCCCCTTTCCTTTCTTTAATAAGTTAGACCCGGGGGGCTCAGGCTGTGGGATCTGGAACGGTTCACGGCTTGCTGGGCAGAGACAAAAGGAAAAACAATTTGTTATAATCCAAACACAATGAACTTGCCGTGAAACAAAGCGGCTTGGGCCACAACCGTTCCTTGGCGCGCTCTCGCTTTCCAGCTGCAAATCTATGTTTGGCAAGGAAGGGGATGGAAACTCCTCCCTACCTGGTGGCCAATGTTTCCTTGAACTTCTCTATGTCTCCTTGGCTCCTGGGTGGGATTGGCCAGCATCTGTGGAGCAGGGGTGTGGGGCACACGCCTGTGAGGGCCGGCCACGGGTTTGTGCCCAGCAAAGAAGAAACATGGCAGGGACAGAACAAAAGGGGTGCCAGGCATTGCTCTGGGTGCTCGAGACGATGGGATCTGCCCACAGCCCACAGAGGTGTTGGCATTAGGTCTTCATTTGACGGATGAGACAACTAAGGCACAAATACACAGAGTAACTTGCCCAAGACCACCCAGGTAATAAGTAGAACCGGGAATGGAACCCAGAGTCCTGGCCCCTGCCACACAGCCATGTGCCACAGTAAGGGACCCTGCCCTCCGTGTTTGTTCTTCCAGATAGATCTTGCACTTCCAGTCCAAACAGGTTCTTCTCACAGGCCTTGGCGAAAGACCACTTGCCCTCAGGCTGAAGAATAATGTAAATACAATGGGCCGTTTTTTTAAAAATGAGAATACATAAGTCAAGCACTTTGCCCAGCGCCTGGTACTTCTTAAACTACTTGGCAGACCTCCGGGCATCGTCAGGCCCCTGGCCAGGGTGTTCCTGGCTATAGGAGGTTCCCTTGGCCACTGGGTAACAAACACACCTCGCGGGACTACAATGGATGGGTGAAAGAGGAAGAAAAAACAGCTTTGGACTCAAGAAATTTGTTAGAATCCTATTGGGGAATTAAAATAATTTCATATTTAGAAAAAGGAATAGAAGCTTATTAATAGTCTCCCTATCACATAGGGTCCTCATTTCTAGTCCCAATCTTACCAACTAATAAATGGGTAGCCATGGAGAAAACTTCACTGGGGCCTCGCTATCCTCGGTGGGAAAATGGAGACACTACCAATTTCATTGTGAGGCTCACATTCGTGGTCAAGTCCTAAATAAACAGCACACAGGAGCTGAGGGGAAAGGAGGTAATAGGATTCCTTGGGCTTTCTTCAAGAGCTAGCTTGGGAACTGAGGTCTGAAGGTGATGGGGGCTTTGGAACTCTCAAGAGGAAATCATGCTCCTGGTGCATTTTTCCTCGCGTTACGGAAAACCCAACTCCAGTTGGTTTAAACACAAATGGAATTTATTGACTCACAGACCCAAGAGAGTCAGAGGCGGAGCCAGTCTGAGACGCAGTGTGATCCAGGGGTTCTAAAGCCATCATGGCACCAGTGATGGGTCTGGGTGGGGCTTTGGCAGTTACCCTTCATGTGTCTGCTTTGCCCGGAGGCTGGTCTTGCTTATGATAGTTGACTGGCTGAAGCAGTCCAGGCCTCACATCTACAGCCCCTGCAGACCTTCTGTTCCCCGTTCACAGGAGAGTCCCAGGGAACATTCTGATTGGACCCACGGAGGCCCCCATGAACCACTCCCTGTAAGAAGGGGATGGAGTTATGTGATTGGCTTGGCTCGGGCCACAGGTTCCGTCCCCAGCACCTTGGAGGAGAGTCCAGTTTCTTGGAAGCACATGAGTCCTCAAGTGGAAAGCGGGCCCTCTTGTGGGGTGGGACTTGGGAGGGAGATAGCCACGTGCTCACATCAGGGTAATTACTTTTATAAAATAAAAAGGGACAAGTAGGGGCACCTGGGTGGCTCAGTCAGTGAAGCACCTGACTCTTGATTTCGGCTCAGGTCATGATCTCACGGTCATGAGATCGAGCCCCATGCAGGGAGTCGGCTTGAAGATTTTCTCTCTCCCTCTGCCCCTCCCCACTCTCTCTCTCTCTCAAGTGAATAAATAATCTTAAAAAAAAAAAAAAAGGAACGAGTAAGCCATGTGTGAGAGCGAGCCCACTGTCTTGTATGGCAGAGTGTTCTTGAGAGGGGGTAGTGAGAGGACAGTGGAGGCCCTGGAGCCAGCCATGCCAACCCCAGGCCTGGCCTTGTGTGAGCTTGGGAGTTTCAGCATTTACCAGCATCTACCAGCACCTCAACAAATTCAGGAAACACGCCGGTTTCCTTCTATTATAAAGGCTAACACTTAATCCATTAAATAGAGTATTTACTCCTCCTTAAAACATTCAGTGGGGGAATAGAGAAGAGGGGAGCCCACTAGGTACTGACCCTGGGCTGGAGGCTGTTCCTGCATCTTCTCCTCTAATGTACCAACCTCCCTCTGAGACAGGAAGCATGACCCCATTTCACAGATGGGGAAGGAAAGGGAAGGGGAGGTGAGTCACTCAGCCAACAGATAAGCAGAGGAGAGATTTGAGTCCCCAGGGCTGCTTGACTCCAAAAGCCCACAAGCAGAGAAGCGAGTTGGGATTTTTCTCCAGTTCATGAGAATTTCATTGTCCTGTGTGTCACAGCAAACACCAGGCTGATGACCCCTCTTCATGGGGACTCCTGCTGTGGATCATGAGCTTGTCCTCAGCCAAGTTTGTACCTAAGGATGCTGAGGAATGTGGGAGTCTGGAGGCAGGGGGCGACTCATGCCCGGGGGCCCTCTTCATACATGCCCCACCAGGATGAAGGCAGGAGGTCAGGCCCCGGAGAAACAGGGCAGGCTGAGCACCCTGTCCTGGCCATTGTCATTGTCCGCCTCCTCACAGCTTCCTCTCAAGCCACTGTGCATTCTCTGCTCAATGCTTTACGTAGAGTGTCTCCTCATAGTCACAGAGCTCTTTCAAGGCTGGCTACTGCCCCCATTTTACAGCTGGGCAAATCAAGGAACGACCGTGAAGGCCAAGGTCACAGGAAGTGCTCCTGCCTGAGGGTTGTGTCTTCTCATCCCCATGTCATACATGAGCACATTAACCCACTGCTCAGAGGTGGCCCACGGATGTCACAGGGCTGGCAAGGGCCCGAGTCAGGATTCAAACTCATGCTCTGCCCGACTCCAGAGCCTGGCTTACAGGCTGTGCTGGAAAGGGTGGCCCGTAGCTTAGGGAAAACCTTCAGGGAAACTATTTGGCCTCGTGGATCTCCCCCAGGAGAGAGTGTCCCACATGCTCCCAGAGAAGCTCGTGATCCACTTTGTTGGAATAAATGCGGGTCCTTTCTTGGGTCATCTGTGTACACTGATGTCACCATCCCTCTCCCCTCCTCCTCATTTTCCCCCACTTCCCCAAACACCTCCCAGGAGGCCCCCCCCCGCAACAAACCCCAGGAGTAGCCACTTCGGAGGGGCTCCCTGTGCCTGGGATTTTTATACCCGCGGCAAGCGGAGTGCAAACTCCCCAGAGCCTCGGGCCACATCACCCCCAAGATGAGGCGGATGCTGAGAGTAGGCTTTCCATTTTTTAAAGCCACCTCTAACAAAAACACAGAAACTGGGAAGGCTGAAGTTCCACGTGAGCACGCGTAAGGTGTAACAAGCTGCAGGAGAAGGTGACTGTGGAGAAGTGGATTGCCCCCCTTTCCTTCAGGTTCTGTTTTTAGCCTGTGTTTTTTAGAACAAGTAGGTGCCATGGTGATAGATGCCATAGAAATAGAGGGAGCACCCGCCTCATGTGGGGCTGCCGAGCCGTCCCCATAGAGATGCACCGAGGGCTGGGGAGAGCCCGGGCTTCGGAGACTGTGCACGGCAGGACCCCCCAGGGCTCCTCACACCTGCCCCTGCTCGGTCAGGGGAGAAGGTGCCATGGAAGGTTGGCCCTAACTTTCTCCCGGTGACCGTCCGAGGCCTCTGCTGGCATCCCTCCGACAGCACCCGTGGGGGCCTTCTCTCTGGGGCCTCCCACGGAACTCTCTTCGGGGGCTTGGCCTTTGCGCAGCACGGCGAGCATCGAGGCAAACCTCTGAACTTAACACCCGGCACTCCGTCCCTTCCATTGTCCCCATCCGGCCCACATGTGGAACCGGCATGAAACATGGTGTCCCGCAATGGGTGACAAGGAGCTTGCGGGGCGGGCTCTGGGTCCCAAACAGCTGGTGGTCAGGAATCCTCATAAGAGGAAATCTCAGAGAATCTCAACCAGAACTCAGGACGGGGAAGGACATCATCATGTCTGAGAGCGTGGGTTTCCGTTTGTGAAAGCTCAGGCCGTTGGGACGGAGGCCCGGGCCCGAGCTATTTCTGGACGCAGCCTTAACAGGACTGAAAGACCCTTTGAAACAACTGCCCAGGCCTTCACAGAGCATTCACACCACCGTCTCCCTACAGCTGTCGATAGATGTATATAAATGAATGGGTCCAAGCTTAGCTCATTTTTATTTGGGTTTAGACCAATTACGGTATCTTCTGAAATGTGACCCATAGATGCATATGCCCTTTAACCTTGGATTATATTAGGTCTGGCGTAAGAGGATTAAGTCTAACGGGCTTGGGTTATTATATCTGCCCCACAGTATCTACTTCTGGAATGGGGCTCTATTACTATATATATATATGTTGCCATATAATTATATATCAAGTGGCATACTTCCTTCAGGGTAGGGCAAGTGTAATTCTGGACTAATGTACAGTTCTGAGACCAGTAATTCCAGAACTGACCAACTAAGAGTTAATTTTACTCTCAAAGAAACACACACACTCATGCCCCTAACAAAGGAATTAAAAAAAAAACTTTAATAATCAATACTACCATCAACTCATAAACTATTGCCTAATAGTAGTTACAAATTATGAAAACCATAGAACTGGAAGGCACTAGAGAAATTTCTGTCCTGGAGCACCTGGGTGGCTCAGTCAGTTAAGCATCTGCCTTCGGCTCAGGTCATGATCCCAGGGGCGTGGGATAGAGCCCCACATCGGGCTCCCTGCTCAACGGAGAGTCTGCTTCTCCCTTTCTCTTTTTCTCTGCATCTCCCCCTGCTCAGGCTCGCACGTTGGCTCTCTCTCTCTCAAATAAATAAATAATAAATAAAATCTTTAAAAAAAAAATGTCTATCCTGGCATATCTAGCATTTGACACAAAGGACCATGGCCCGAAGAGTCAAAGCACTTTTCTGTTTGGCTCACCGTATCTTCTATGTTGTGCAGACTATTACCACTACACAAGACATTTCCCAGTGGTGGAAATGCATGGAGCCTCTGCTTCCTGCAACCGGAGACTGGTGCTCACCGTGTCCCTGAAGTAGGCTTGTAGGTCAAGCCATTGGTTGAGCTATGCAGTGGAAGGGTAGCTAGACATTAAAGCAACTGTTGGGTTTATCCCTAGGACTCACCGATGGAACTACAGGACAGCATTTACTGTTGGTAACGTCATACGCTTAACCTCCATCTGGATGCCTGTGTCACGTTTCAGTGCTCTGACAGAGCATTCCAGTACCTCTGTATTAAATATGCAAACACACGTGCTCTAGTTTTATAGGCCAAGCAAACTATGAAACAGGAGGGTTTGCCTTAGCAAACCTTAGCAAACCCCATTTGCCCATAGCAATGTCATACCTTGGAGTTTTGCCACTAGGTTGGATTGCTTTATTTAGCTAAGTAACCAAAAGCAGATCTGCTTTGAAGAATGAACTCTCAAATATTCTGTAACTCTCTAAGAATGGACATGCACAGCCACGTTTGGCAGAGAGTTTTTCCTAAATTTCCACAGAGTCTTAAAGTTAGTGTTTGGCTGTGTGAAGCAAATACACAAAAATTTTCCTTTACCAAAATAAGCTCCTTTTCGTGGAGCTGAAACAGGAACCCCGAGCTAGAGAATATTTGATAACGAATTCAAGACACACACCAACACCAGTGTCACTTTTCACAACAACAATCTGAAACTAAATATTTGATGTGAATGCACCTTAACAATCAGTTTCCTTTGTTTAATTTAAATTTTATGTTGTGGTAAAACTGATAGAACATAAAATTTGCTATTGTAACCAGTTTTAAATGTACAGTTCAGTGGCATTGAATACATCCATACAGGTGTACAACCATCCCACCCTCCCTCTCCAGAACCTTACATCATCCCAAACTTATAATCTGTTCCCACTAGACACTAACTCCCGGTTGCCCCCATCCCAGCCCCTGGCAACCACCCTTCTCCTTTCTGTCTTTATGAATTTGACTATTCCAGGTATATTTGTCCCTTGTGATGGGCTTATTTTGCTTATCATAATGCCTTTTTCCCCTGAAGATTTATTTATTTATTTGAGAGAGAGAGAGAGAGAGTATGAGCAGGAGGGGCAGAGGGAGAGGGAGAGAGAATCCCAAGCAGACTCTGCACTGAGCGTGGATCCCAACACGGGGCTTGATCCCACAACCCTGAGATCACAACCTGAGCCGAAACCAAGTCGGACGCTCAGTCAACTACACTACCCAGTTGCCCCACTTACCATAATGTCTTTTAGCATCATCCACACCACAGCATCTGTTAGAATGCCCCTGCTTTTAAAGGCTAAATAATATTCCATTGTAGGTATATGCCACATTTTGTGAATTTACAATTTTATTTTTCCCTACCTGTTCCTCATCATTTTTAAATTTTGAAACAATCACAAAGTGACAGAAAAATTGCAAGGATGGTACAAAAAAAAAAAACACAACAAAAACACCCTTTTTTTCTTGAACTTCTTGGGAATAAGTTGTCCTGATACTCCATCATCTTCCAATACTTTCCTGTGTTTTTCCTACAAAGACACTTCCCCACCTCACCACAACACAGCCATCAAAACCAGGAAACAGGGTCGCCAGTTATTGCAGTCATGTCTTTTATCACAAGAGGATCCAGTTTGGAATGCCTCTTGGATTTAGGTGTGCCTGTTTAGCCTCCTTCAGTCTAGAAGTACAGCTCCTCAGGGTCTCCTTGACTTTCATGACCTTGACACTTTGAAAGATCACAGACATTGTAGAACATCCCTCAGTTAAGATCAGATTCAAGTTGTGCATTGTGGCGGGAATATCATAACAGAGATACTGCCTTCTCCTTGTACCCTACCAAGGGATCCGCCATTTTGGTCTGCTCCTATACTTTGATCACATGATTAAGGTCATGTCTCCCAGGTTTCTTCACTATAAAACTAGTCTTTTCCTCTTCGTAATGGATAGGTATTTTATGGGGAGGTACTTTGAAACTGTGTAAATATCTCCTTCCTCAACAACTTTAATTATTTTTTTATCTCCACATGAGTGTATGGATTCCTATATAAGTTAGTGGGTTATATCCACTTCCATCATTATTTAACTTAAAGCTCACCTTGTCCCTAGTTTGACTGCTGAAGAGTTCTTTCATCCTGTGTCCTTTCTGTATGGCCCCATCATTCTTTGAGAGCGCCCTTACTTTCTAGCACAACAAGATGTTCTAGGCTCGCCTTCTGACTTCCTGGCCCCAGTTGTGGAATCAACCATTTTTCCAAGGACTCTTGATTCATTGGAAGATGGTATTTAGAATCCAAGATTTGGGCACCAGATGTACACATGCCTATTGAAATGTTGCTGCTCCCAGGCAGAGCTAAGGAGTATATGTTTCCCTGTGTGTATGTGTGTGTGTGTGCACACACGTGTGCATGTGCACATGCACACACACACAGGTACACGCACACGTGGGTACACTCCTTACCCTCTGATACTACATGCCAGGCTGCCATTCTCTGACCATAGGCAGCATCCCTCCTTGCCCTGATCAGGCGGTGACACCACAGGCCAGACCACCCTCCCTGGGGATGTCCTCCTCATCACTTGAATCTCCAATCCCTTGCTTTGGGCCACCGTGGCTCCTGCCCTCCCTCCCTCACCACGGACCCCTACCTCACTCAGCTCTACCTAATAACTTTAGGACTGAATTGTTTAGGAAGGGGAAATAAAAGGGACCACTATTGGCTTTGATTGAAGATACGTGTTTCGTTAACAATCTTTTTGCTTATTGGGAGCACGTGTATCTGACCTATTAGTAAACAATACTAAACATGACTGCCGGCATTTTCCCTAATCTTTTGTCTCTGTTATTGTAATGAAAAAATTTTTATGAAATATTTATACAGTTAGGATGGGCTTCTTCCTTACAGCAACATCTATTTTGCAATAGTGCCATTGTATTTAGGCTGTCACCAGCCACTCTCTTGGCAAACGTTGAGCAACTCCCACCCCAAAAATTAATGAGTGAAGACAAGGTCTGTACACCTACTTATTCTATTCTTCCATTATCAAGTTGTAGGAGTCTGCACAAGGGATCCAGGGGACCTCGACAGAAACCAGAAATGGAGTTTTGTATTACTGTGAATTTGCTTATGCTTGTGAATAAGTGAGGTCTTCCTCGCCAGACTGTGAACATCAAGGAAATCGACTGGGTCTCCTACTATTTTTTTTTTGTACTCTTCAAGGTCAGGTGCTAAGCACAATCCTGCTTCTGGCGCCGGTGCTCCCCGTGCTTGTTAACCGACAGAACCATGACGACTTCATTATGGCAGTAAGGCGCCGATGGATGCTTGTTGGGCTTTAGCCTCCTTGACCTCCATGATTACAAATTCCTCCTTGCAATAATTGCCTCCCTGGGCTTTTGAGCCATGTGGTTTCTCTCCTGCTTGCCTGGCTCTCTCATCATGGTTGTCTTTGTGCATATCACTTGCTCTGTCTGTCTCCCCCAACAGTGGACATTTATTGGGTGTTTTCCAGGTGTCAGGCACTGTTGTAGGTATTGGAGATACAGCAAGGAATAAAGCAGATCAGAAATCCTTCCCTGGCAGAACTGAAGGGAAACAGAAAGCCTTCCCCTGTGTGAGTGTGTGTGTGTGTGTGTGTGTGATTTCTTATCCGGTTTCAGAGGAGTAACCACTGCGGCTCCCCGGAAGCATGTTAAGCACTGGCTGGTCCAGCCCAGCCAACGAACCATTAAGGCACTTGCTCTCCTTCAAGGTTCTTGTCTAGGAGGGAGACTTTCTGTACGCTCATCCTTCAGCAGGTCTCCCCTCTCCTCTGCCATCCTCCTACTTTGCTGCCCCGCAGTCCAGTCCCCCACCTGCCCCCAGATTCTTCTTCCTAAAAGGCAAGTCTTACCGAG